CGCGGTCATTTACATGGGGGTTCAGCGACATAGCCATTACGCTAACTGCTGGTTCCCCAGTATGAGAACTTTTGATAAAAGAATGCCATCCTCAGTAAAAAAAAAAGACTACCTCTTTCTCATTAACCACCACTCAGTGCTGGCCTGGCCAGGCCGCAGTCCCCAGCTGCCCCCTGGTGGTAGTTGGAGCCATGTGGCTCCCCTGTCTGTGGAAGCCCGCTTTTCTGGCCTCCCCTGCCTGCGCTCCCAATCCGTGGGGCCAGGCTTCTCGCAGCTGGCTTGGGAAGGCTCACCGGGTTTTCCCTGGAGGTGAGCTGAGCTGCCTGCCAGGACATGCCGTCCAGACCCTGAGGAATCCTGAGTTCACCCGCTGCTGCCCTGGCCTAGTTGTGGTTCTGGGACTCGGGCCTCAGACTGGCCATGAGCTGTGCCTCATGGAAGTGGCGTGGCCCTGAGCAGGCAGCTGGCTCTTTCTCCATGACCCTTGCTGGCCATGCCATTCAGAGGGTCTACTCCCTCCCTGCTCGGGGGGTCTTTACCCGGCGTGGCCCGAGGAGGAGTCCAGGTCACAGCCAAAGCACGGCTCCTATCCCTCCCCCAGGTCCCGCCTGGAGACCAGCGGGAGCCTGCTGCCTGCTGCTCTCAAGGGCAGCCCCCCATCACCATGCACAGCACAGCTCCTATCCTTCCCCAGGTCCTGCCTGAAGACCAGCGGGAGCCCGCTGCCTGCTGCTCTCACGTGCAGCCCCCCACCACCATGCACTCCTTGGACGAGCCGCTCGACCTGAAGCTCCGGGCGGCGAGAGAGAAGCGGGAGAGGACACTGGGTGTGGCCCGGCACCGGGCGCTGCACAGGGAACTTGGCTTGGTGGATGACAGCCCCACGTCCGGCTCCCCCGGCTCCCCGCCCACAGGTACTGCAGGTGGGTAGGTGGGGTCGGCCCTCACCTGGCCCAGGCAATGGGGAGGACTGAGGTGTGCTCCCCGGTGCACGAGGGCAGCCTCTCCCAGCTTCCGGTTTAGTGGTGCCCACACGTCCTTCCACTTGTCCTCATGGAGCTTCTCTTGGGCGGGAGCAGGGGCTGTGGCGTGCGGGTAGTGCCTGCAGCTGGCATGGAGCTAGGACCCAGTGCCCAGTGGCAGCCTCTGAGGTTGGAGCAGCTGGGGGGAAGCAGGCAGGAGTCTAGTGACCTCGGTTCCTGGGCTCTGAGGCGTGTACATGGACATCCAGGTAGCAGAGATCAGGACGGGGGCCAGCAGGGGCTTCTCGGGATACCCTGTGTCAGGCCCAGCGTGGCGTTCACACTGGGGCTCTGCCTCCAGGTCAACCCTGAAACTCAGATTTACCACAGGCCTGAGCTGGAAAGCTCTGGAAGCCCAGCCCAAACTTCCCATTTTACGGAAGGGAACATGGAGATCTGCCGTTCCTTGCCCGGTCCGTCCCTGTCCTCACCACAGAGCGGGTCCTGCCCGTCTGCTGGCGCACATGGCTGAGCTCCCACAGTGGTGAGGTACAGAGGACATGGGCCGTCTTCACACTGCTCAGCAGTGCAGGCAGCTCGTCAGATAGAGGGGGTCCTGGGGCTACTCGGGGATCCAGAGGCAGGATGCCCTGCTGGCCTGCCAGGCCTCCTGCCTCCAGCTCCCCCTT